AGTCCATAGAGAGAAACCTTGTCTGGAAGAGAGAGAGTGAGAAGAAAAGAAAAAAAAATATGTTCAGTACAAAAGTAACAAAAATGACTGTATGGTTCCTTATAGTGTGTGGGTGTGTTTCAAAGGCTTTGGGTCTCAGTAGGCATGTGTCCTCAGTAGGAAGTTGGACTGGCTAGCTCCAGCCCTCTCCATTCCTTTCCCAAGGACAGTGTGTGGCTGAGCGGGAAGCAAGCGTCCCCACCCACACGAGAAGGAGGAGACTGCTCCTGAGGCTGTGGCTGTTCCTCAAACCTTCTTTGGTCTCCCCTCCCCTGTACATTGCTGAACACACCTGGCAACCAGAGGTGGGGCTAGCTTATCACCTGGCTGCCAGGTACAGCACACAGTGTCCAGAGCAGAGAGCTGCTTTTGGGGAATGCCTTTAACTGTGCTGGGAGCGGCCTGGCCTTTGTCCCTCCTGAGGCACGTGACAGTCTGTGGAAAACATAATCTGGTATAAACCTGCATGTCCTCATCGCTGGGGATAAGCCTTGACTTTTCTGTCTCCAACAACACGGAGGAAAGGCGTTTCCTGTCTTGTCAGTACTATCTAGGCCCTAGATTCTAGGGAGATTCCTGCAGGCAGGCTGGACTTGAAAGTAGAATGTGGTATTTTAAAAGTGTGTACACCTGTCCACATTGTAAGTTCCAGGACAGCCAGGACTATGTAGAGAAACCATATTAAAAAAAAAAAAAAATCCAGGAGCGGCGGCACACACCTTTAATCAGGGAGGCAGAGGTGGACAGGTCATTGTGAGGCCAGCCCTGTCTACAAAGTTAGGCCAGGACAGCCAAGCCTACACAGAGAAGCCTTCTCTAAAAAACAAAACCAAACAAAAACAAAAGAGTATGCACGCTTGTACTCTCAGAACTGGGGAGGCTGAAGCTGGAGATTCGAGGCCAGCCTGGGCTACAGATGAAGAACTTGAGCCTACAGCAAACAAGCAAAAGAACACAGCCTCTGGTCAAAGACACTGCTATGTGGCCTCAAACCTCAGCCCTGCCCTGAAGTTAGGAAGTTCCAGGCCAAACAGGGCTACATAGGAAGACCCAGCCTAAAAAAGGGGGGGTATATCAGAGGAAGACAGACAAGCAGGAAAAGAGGGAGGTTGGGAATGAAATGAGCTTTGCCGATGCACCCAACCTTAATCTTGCGCATTGCTACCTGACCTTGGTGGGTTCTGAGTGTCCTCCAAGCTTTAGGCTCATTAGGAATCTGGCACCCTCAAATTTTCTCTCCATTTTGTTGGAGCTGCTTGAGTCCAGGGCATCAGAGGTAGAAAAGAAGGAGAGCCTGGAATTTTCTGTCCGAGTATTTTTATCACAGGTTGGTTGAATGCAGAGATGTGGGTGTACAGGCTAGGAAGCCCCTGCTGAGTTTCCATTCCCCCTTCTCCCAGGTGAGGGTAAGGTGAGAATAAAAGGGAAAGGCCAGCAGCCTGCACTGCCAGGGATCTCAGGCCAAGAGCTGCCCCAGAACAAGGCAGCACTGTCGTTGTGGGCTCCGGGTTTTAACAAGTACACACAGGTGTTCAGCGTGCCAGGGCCACGAGTAGCAAGGCCTACCTTGGGTACAGACATTTTAAGAGAACATGCCTATAAGCCTCCGGGTCTTAATTAAGAAGTTCTCACACCCACCTTGGTGGTGCAAAGAAGGCCTGTTATCCCGGGATTTGGGAGGCTGAGGCAGGATGATCAGGGGTTGGAAGCTAGCCTGGGCTATGTATAAAATTATCCAGCTCTCAAGGAAGACAAAAGTTGAAAGCTTCGAAACCTGTTGTTTCCTGGACACCAAGGGGCTTATCCCTAAGGATTGCTGGGACAAGCGAAGGAGGCATGCCTCCTAAGCCAGAGGGACCTCTGTGGGTGAAGGCCACCCCAGGAGGAAGCAGGAAGAGCTGCAGAGCTTTGCCTGTGATCTGTGGACCTGACTGGTAGAAGGGCTTAATCAATACTTAGGCTTCTGGGAACCTGGTTGAAGTTGAATGTCTGGGAGCGGAAGGAGTGCCAGGCTCCTGGGAGCAGGGAAGAACGGATGAGGTCATGTTTGCAGAGGACTTTGAGCTGTTGAGATGAAAGCAGACCAAGTGTAAGGTATTATTAACTAAAGGTGTTATTATCTTAATCTGAGGGGACAATACAAGGCCAGCGAAACACTGCAATAAAAACATGCCCATTAATAACAAATGAAACAGCAGTGGCCAGGGAGGACAAAATCCTTGTTGCCTCAGTGGCTATGGAGGGAGCAACTGAGAAAGAGAAACAGCCTGGGTCTGTAGCTCACTAAGAGTGAGCCCCAAGGCAGGCTTACAGTTATTGGACCTTAATGCATAGTCCCCCTGTGCTGAGGACTTCTTGACTAACACAGTACAGGTATTTTAGTGGTGTTTACATTCTATTAGGTATTATAGGGTACTTTAGAGATTATTTAAAATACATGGAAGGCTGTGTAGGAGTTATTACAAACCCTATGCTATGTATTCTATGCATATGTATTCTATGCATATATATTTTATGTAAAAGGAGTTGAACGTCCACAGATTCTGGTAGCTTTAAGGGACCCTGAAACATGGTTTTCCAGTCACACTTGTGGCCTCAGCCCGTGGACATTTTGGGGTATCCAAGAATAATTATAGTACTCCTACCCCTTCAAAACAAACAAACAAACAAACAAGCAAACCAGAAGACTGATGAAACAAGATTAACTCATTCTAGCGCCCAAAGCTGTTTTGTTGTCTTCTTGTGTAGCTGGGGAGAGGCCAGGGTTTCCTGCAGGCTAGGCAGGCTCTCTGACACGCTAGCTGTGCTTTCATTGGTATGCAAACATTGGCTGTAATCTTATTCACACACACACACACACACACACACACACACACACACACATTTTTCAAAAAAGTGGTCAGATTCTCTTAAATGGAAATTTTAGTTCTTACAGGTAAAATAAAAATAGGGTTGTTGGGCAGTAGTGGTGTATGCCTTCAGTCCCAGCACTCTGGAGGCGGAGGCAGAGGCAGGAGGACTTGAGTTCAAGTCCAGCCTGGTCTACAGAATGAGTTCCAGGGCAGCCAAGGCTATGTAGAGAAAACAAAAACAATGAGTGAGGTTGCAGACCCACACCAGACAGAGAGAGAGCACCCTCCCTGCAGCGGCCTCCCACAGGTAAACAAACAGAAGTAGGGCTTGCTTTCTTCCCGTTGTCCTGTCCAGCGACACCCATAACTACTAAAAATACACTCTGTGATTAGTTCTGATGAAAAAGAGTGTACCTCTTCCTAAAACCAAAGCCCTAATAGTAAATCCCTGATCCAGTTCTCCAGATCAGGGCGGGAACAGCCCCAGGGCCTCTCCCAACAGTATGGAAATCCTCTTGCAATATTTACCTATAAGGCAAGTTCACCGTCCCATTACCTTAAGTCCTCTTTAATATCCAATACAATAAATTCTAAGTGAATACAAGTATCTGATATACTGTTGATCAGGTAATAACAACAAGGAAAAAATAAGTCCTCATGCTGAAACCAGATACTTTTAAATGTTAATTACTTATTTTGCCTTATGAGTAGTTTTCCTGTGTACTAGGTGCAAGCCTGGTGCCCACAGAGGCTGGAGGAGGAATCAGATCTCCTGGAACTGAGTTACAGACAGTTGTGACCCACCCTGTGGATGCTGAGACTCCAACCTGGTTTCTTTGGAAGAGCAGCCGATGCCCTTAGCTGCAGCTGGTGCTCTTAGCCGCTGAGCTATCTCTCTTGTGGCCAGATACATTATTTTTTTAAGCAGTGGATTTTTAAACCTTGAGGTTGGTTTATGCAAAATACGCCCTGCCACTGACCAGCTCTGCGCCGTGTGTGTGTGTGTGTGTGTGTGTGTGTGTGTGTGTGTGTGTGTGTGTGTTTGGCTTTTTTGAGACAGAGTTTCTCTGTGTAGTCCTGGTTGTCCTGAAACTAACTCCCTATGTAGGCAAGGCTGGCCTTCAAACTCAGAGAAGTCTGCCTGACCCTGCCTCCCACTGAGGGCTGGAATTAAAAGCATGTGTTACTATGCCCACTGCCCTGGCTGACCCGGAACTCCCTTTGTAGAGCAGGTTGGCCTCCAAGTCAGAGATCCGCCTGCCCTCTGCCTCCCAAGTGCTGGGATTAAAGGCCAGCAAACTAGGCTTGTTTTGTTTTGTTGTGTCGTGTTTTGGACAGGGCTTCTCTGTGTAATCCTGGCTGTCCAGAACTCACTCTGTAGACCAGGTCCTCGAACTCAGAGGCCCGCCTACCTCAGCCTCCAGAGTGCTGGGACTGAGGGTGCGCCACCACCACCGCTCTGGTTCCTTTTTGTTGCTGTTGTTTTGTTTTGCTTTTCCTTTTTTGGTACTAGGAATTGAACCCTGGACCTGAGGCTGTGCGTTGTGTTTCAAAAGTTTTCTTTTTTAAAGTGAGACTCTTTAGAAGCTATTTAAAATTTAAATGCTCTTGGGAGTTGAGGAGCTGCAAAGGTTCTGCGTGTTTTCTATTTTGATCAGTCTGTTTCTCGAGATGACCACATCTTTCAGAGGAAATGAGTCAAAGCCACTCAGTCTTGCTTTTCCAGCTGAGCATGTTCGGTTTCAATGAAGTAATGAATGAACTTGGCCAGCACCACCCCCAACGCCTACAACAGCAAACACAGGGGACCTCCACCAATCAGCGCGCACTCGGGGTTTTTTTGAGTTGAGTTCGAACGGGCCTACGGTAGGCCAATCAGCGCCCCAGGACCCGCCCCCGGGGGGCCGGCCCCAGCCAACCACCAATCAAGAGGAGCCAAAACACGGCGGCTGGCCAATGCCGGGGCGGCCCCGCGGCGCCGGCTCCGCCAATGGGCGCGGCCGGGCGAGAAGAGCAACAGAGCGGCCGGGCCCGCCGCAGGATTCGAATCGAACGTCTGTGCCGGAGCCGGCGGCCGGCCGGGCGGAGCGTGGGCCAATCAGCGGCGGCGGCTCGCGGCCCCCGAACGTTGGGCCCGGCGGCCCCGCCCCGCGCTGTTGTTTGCGGCGTCGGCGCGGCCGCGCGAGCCGGACCACAACATTCGCCGGGCGGCGGCGGCGGCGGCGGCGGAGCGGCGAGCGCCGCGAGCCCGGGCGGCCGCCCAGCGCCATGTCGGTGAACACGGACGAGCTGCGGCACCAGGTCATGATCAACCAGTTCGTGCTGGCCGCGGGCTGCGCGGCCGACCAGGCGCAGCAGTTGCTGCAGGCGGCGCACTGGCAGTT